ACAGCTTTGGCTAGAGCTTAGTGTTCTGGTTCTGTGTATCTAGAACCAGGCATCGAGACTAACAGAAGGGGACACTATGAGGTAAAAGAGGTTTATGCGCTTATGTTTCAGGACTAATTTAATGATCTATATGCTTCTAGGCTGGCCCCACCTCTGGCCCTTCATTCATCACTGGGGAACTAAGAAATCATCCTACCCACCTTGCAGTGCTTCTGGGTCCAGGACTGGTCCTTCCTCTGGAAATCTGGGTGATTTCTCAAGTTGCTGAGCTATCTGTCCTTTAACCAGCCTTGCCCAGCATAGTCTGCAGGCAGAAAGCTTCCTTTAGAAATTTCTGAGGCTTCTGCTACCTATGAGCTGGGGCTCCTTCAACTGACACCTGTCAGTCTTCTGTATTGTCCCTGTCTATCTCTGATTTCCAGAGGCTCCCAGCCCAGTCCTTGGCAGGACTCTGACTCACTCCCTGTTATTCTGGACTTTTCCATCAGTCTTGGTTCATGCTTAGTCTCTGGAGGCCGGAGAGCCCCCACTGTTATCTGCAAGCCTGCCTGGATGAAAAGCCTCAGCATCCTGGGAGACCTGACAGAGCTGATTTGGGCTGGAGAACCCTGAGAGACCTAAAGCCTTTGCCTCACTGCTATTCCTATACTGACTCCTCTCTGGGAAAGCACAGACCCTCATCTATGCCCTTGCAACTGCATGGCAAACCAAAGAAGCTGCTTCCTGGGCTCTGTGGCTCCCTGTGCGTACAGTCATAGTTGATACATCTGGCTGTAAGTGGTCAGATTGAGCCCCTCTGTAGCTCAAAACTATCACCCTGAGTTCAAGTACTGACCAATGACATAGGCAGGGGGTCAGGGAACAAAGAAATAATTTATTCTAGAGTTTGAACTTCACGGTTCATCTGGACTTTGGGCAGCCAGGCCCAGAGACTAAGCCCAAAGGATTCTCTGATGTTGAAGGTTAGTGACCCTTTTCACTCACTCAGAAGCTCATATCAGATAGCTTCTGAGCCATGCCTCCGTACAGGGCACTGCTAGGTGTTATAGAGGATGTGGTAGTAAATACCCCTTTGCCCTGACAGCCTTGAAAAAGATCATCTCTAAATTTTTTTTTTCTTGCAATGGGGCCTCCCTACATTGCCCAGACTGACCTCAAACTTCTGGGCTCAAGCAGTCTACTTGCCTCAGGCTCTTGAGTGCTGGATCTACAGAGTCATGCCCAGCTAGGATCTACCATTAATTATAGCAGGAGCAGGAAAATGTGTAGGAATAGATGGCCTTCAGTAAAATGTGGTGCCTACTAGTGTGCTTGACCATTGATGCGGTCAGACTAGGTACATCTCCAGGAAGAACCTTGGTCTTATGGGCACAGACCCTGTCTCTTTTCCTTTCCAGATAGTTCACAGGTAAGAACGTCTAGTACCAGGGAACTATATCATCTCTCTACATCCCACAACTGAAAAGCAGTGCCAATTACATGTAAGGTACAAGAGACACAATTCTCCCACTTTTAAAAAAGTTTACCAGTTTAGTTGAAGCATAAATCTGAAATGTAAAACTTGAAAAGTTTTGACACCTGTATCTATGTAAGGCCTTCACCACTAGAAAGGTACATTTTGGAGTAGGAAGAACAGCAAGTCTAGGCCCCTTACTAGGGTTGCTTTCACATTCTTTCCAGTTGAGCTTGCTTTAACAGCTCACCCAGCTGAGGAATAATGATGCTGGGCTTATGACCTGAATATGTGAGTTTACTCACATATTCAGTTTTAACACTAGTATCTGTTATCAGCCGGTGTAGCCCATTTTATGTGCTGAGTAGAAGCATTGATAAGCTAGTTTGCAACTGCTTTAGTCATAGCTAGGGAACTAGGAACTCATAGGATTCCTCTGTAACACATTAAACAGGGGTACTTAGCCTGGGCTCTGTGGACTTATTATCTGACCCCTATTTGGTGGTTGACAGGTAATTGAGTGGATTGGCTGGGTGTAACCCATTCCGTGTTTTAGGGATCTATCACCTTTCCTGGTCCCACTCACAGACCTGTTGTGGTTTGTAGGTAAGAAGTATTCATGCAAGTCAGGCCCTGAGACTTCTCAAGGACTATCAGTGGTGGGTGGAAGCCACAGTTACTCCAAGGGGTTATGCACTTGTCCAGACTAAGGACAGGCTGAACCAAGTTGGTGGGAATGCTCCAGGGGCTATCCCAAGATGAGCACTAAAGTTATCCTGTGCTCTGAAAAGCAATTTGACCTGCTTTCAGGTAGTAGCCAGCCTTGGCAGTCTAGGTTTCCCTAGAAGCCCATTTCTGGGAGACCTGATTGGAGTTTACAATCCCAGATGCACTGCAGGAATCCATGTGGATTTCTCATCTAGCTCAGCCATGTTAATCCCCACCTTTGTGATAGATATGTTGAGAAATAGCTTCTGGTCCTTTATCTTTTCATCTTTCCTGCAGCAAAAAAATAATACATCCCATAATACTCATGAGTGGCAGATTAAAGAATGTTCAAACATAAAGGGAGAATTATAACAGGAGCTTAAACTGCTTTTGCTGAAAAGCATTGACTCCTTTCTTGGGCCCATGAATTAAATAAAAGCAGGAGAAAAGTTTGGCATCCCTATCTCCATTTTGTATCTGCTTTTTGCTCTGAGCTATTCCCTCTACAGTGACTTTGCAATCACCTTGGAATCCAAAAAGGACCAGACGGATGCAATAACATGTTTTACAGAGTGGAATGGAGGAAAATGCCCCAAAGAAGGGAACATCAGAGCCCCCTCAGGACAGAACACCCCCAAACCACCTGACCAGATTGCTGTGACAGCTATAACAACTTCTAAAACAAGGACTGAGATAAGAACAACCAGACCATGCCTGTAACTGGGGCTGTTTAACTATGCACACCTTCCACCACTTACCCTAATTCTTTTTTTTTTTCCAGAACTGGGATTCAAACTCAGGGCCTACACCTTGAGCCACTCCACCAATCCCTTTTTTCTGTGATGGAATTTTTGAGATAGGATCTAGTGAACTATTTGCCCAGGCTGGTCCTTCTGATCTCTGCCTCCTGACTCCTGGGTAGCTAGGATTACAGGAGTGAGCCAGAAGACCACTTCTTTGGACTATTTAAATCTTTAGCTCATGTCAGTACCCTGAAGATGGCTAAAGATGGGCGTAAGTGCTTACTTTTACTTTTCCTCTTCCCATGGTGGACATGAGCTGTATAATAAATCTCCTTTCTCTGCCTTCACAAAAAAAAAAAGGGTGCAACTATAATCTGGGTCCTGAAGCTCAGTCTGACACCCAGAGGCTGGGACCCATCATTGTTTCCTTCAGCATTTTCTCCCCTACAATTCCCAGTCACATGTGGATGGGATCATCTTAGGAACACTCACCCACCTGCCAAAGAGATGGTATCTGAGTGACAGCACTGCTGAGGTTGCACTGATGGGAAGGCTGTGGCAGCCTATGCATTCAGGCCTTGGTGCTCACTATTCTTGACTCCTGCTAGTGTGGACTTTTTCCACATTTGGGGGTCAGATATCCTTAATTCTTCCCTGGGTTGGGGATCACCATCCCACTCAGTCCATCCAGGTGCAGGCTTATTCCAAAGTGGAGAACCAGCGCTATGCCTAAGTGAGCAGTGGGGGTTCTTTGTGTGCAGCAAGAGGGCTGTCCTCCAACCCCTCTGAGAGGTACCCAGAGGCTGTGTGCATACCTAGCCCAGCAGAGCAGAGACTCACACTTATTTTTCTGTCTGTTGCTGGACTGGAAGAGATGCTTTGTTCAAGGGAGGTGCACATTCCCCTTTGTCTCTGCAGGTTGCTAAGGAGTCAGCAGGCTCCATGGAAGGAAGGCAGTGGCCTGTGCCAAGCTGGCAAGGATCTGAATTCCCAGGAGGGTGGCTATGCTTGTGAGAAGTCTGAAGAAGTTCCCTACTGTGTGCCGTCTCTGGCCTAGGAAACATTTTTCTGGGAACCACCAGTTCCCTGTTTTGGCTTTCTTCTTTTGGCTCCTTATTAGACTGGGGCAGTCTTAGTCTAAGTGTCTAGCTGTTTCCCTGTGTACCCTCTTCCTGCCTGCAGATCTCTCTTCCTGCTCATCATGTGAGCAGGAAGAGTCACACATTGGGTGCTCAGGATGCATAGAATTCAGTACTGTAGAGCAGATGCTATAATGCCGCCCAACTTCCACTAAAGACGTGCCACCTTTCAACAAGTCTAAAATTTTCATTTGACCACTTAAATTAAGCACATTAACCTTTACCTTTTTGGGCACCATTTGCTTTTTGGGAGGCATATTGTCACAAAATTAAGGGCAGGGAATCGACAACTGATGATAACATGGGACTGAGAGTTTCTCTGTATCTCCCCAACTGGGCTGCATAATGCACACGTGGGAATTATAAATTTTTGTTACTGAAATTTCTTTTTTTTTTTTAACTGTACTTGATCAAAACCACATGTAATAAATCTGTGAATAAGACGGGCTTACTGTAGCTGTCCAGCATTAGGGATTCCAGCTTTGAAGGTCACAAAGAAGGACTGAGGGCTCATTGGCCAGGGTGGGAGCCTGAGGATGGCTGAAGGAGGAGGTCTAGATGGAAGGCCCTGGGCCCTCTGGCCTTGGTCCCTTTCTGGTTGCTTTGACCCTTAGACTCCCTCTGCTGAACCCCACCTTAGCAAGTGCCCCTTACCTGTTCCACAGCCCTGGGCTTTGTCCAGATTCTTAGGAGTGAGCACAAGAGGCCTTGCTCATAAGAGGTGAGTATCTAGGTAGAATGCTGCTCCCTGCCTACCTCCCCTCCTCAAAATGGAAGCTGGTGGGACTCAAGCTGTGAAAAGCAGGGTGGGGAGGGAGAGGCTACTTGCCCTTTGTATTGCTGTCCAGGTGAACCATTGCCTACATAAGTGAGTTCGTATTTTTCAGGAAGCCTTACATTTAAAACCTTTATTAAAAGAAGTAAATGATCTATCACTTTGTTCTCTTACAGTGGAACCTGGTGTGCGAGGATGACTGGAAGCCCCCACTCACCATCTCCTTGTTTTTCGTGGGTGTGCTGGTGGGCTCCTTCATTTCGGGGCAGCTCTCAGACAGGTAAGTGTCTCCTGTCCCTTCAGGGCATGCCAGCACAGAGCAAGGAGCATGTTCCTGGCCGTGACTTCAGTTGGTGGTGTTCTCTCAACCCTGGGCTGTGCACTTTGGAAGAAGAAGCTGTATTTAGTGTACACTCCATATCAAGTAAAATGAGCCAACACCCTTGTACCCCACTTTCTAGTTCTTGCTAATAGAGAAACCTGACCTATCTAAGCCAAGTGTGTTCATGATCCAGTGACCAGGTAATAGGCCATGTTCCACTTCTGCCCTCCCTGGGTGAGCATGGCTCTCTCCTGTCCCTGAGTATGGGAGAGGTTGACCCCTTGCACACATGAAAATGTGCTGTATTGCAGATTCTTAGGCAGTTCCAGGGTGACCAGCTCTGATTCCCAGGACGAGCAGCAAGGTGAAAGATCTTGCTGGCCAGTAGTGGTATGAGTTATAGAACTCTGTGTCCTCAGGCCGAGCCCTTAGCTAAGTGGCCTTCACTGTGGCACTAACTCTATGCCCAGGATATTGAATGCTGTTCTGACCCATTCTTCATAAACCTGGGTTTTTAATGAGTGGGTCTCATTTGTATAATTTTAAAGCTTTTAACTCAAGGTCCGTTAATGGCTTACGGATCCCAAAGCTCTTGAAATTATCTGCAAAATGTTAGCGATTGTATGTAAGCACTTGGTGAGAAACAAGTTCTGGCTTTCATGAAATTCTCAGAGGGGTCCCTGTTAATATTCGTACCTTCTAACCTGCAGCTTTGGGGTCTGTCATAGATGTCTGAGGTGAGAATAGTGACCTTCAGCAAATCCTTGCTTGTAGTGGCATGGAAAGAATACCCAGCAAAGAAGAGTGCCAGCGTCTTCCTGGCTAGTTGGGGTCTCAGAGTTCAGGATGAGAACATCATGCTACCTTAGGAGCAAAGCTGCTTCATTCTGCAGCATAAACTGAGGGGCGTGTTCTGGCATATTTATATCTACAGCTTATTATGAGTCTTTCCTCATGAAAACTTAAACGTGCATATCTCACTAGATTTACTTTTTCAGAGTGTCATCTAGTGATTAAAAACCAGAAAAATCCCTCCAGTCACCAGTGAGTATTGAGGAGTTCAATAGACCGTGCCTAGACATTGCCAATGCTAGCTGAGCCTGAGTCAGCTGTCCCTATTAGAGAAAGGCCTTCAGTTCTCTGGATCATTCATCTAGTAACAAACATTCCTTATACTGACTACTTATATTGATTTAACAAATGTGTAGTACCTAATATGTGCTCTGCGCTGTTATAAGTACTGTACAAATATTTTTTTAAACTTTTTTTTTTTTGCAGAACTGTGGTTTGAACTCAGGGCCTACACCTTGAGCTACTCCACCAGCCCTTTTTTGTGAAGGCTTTTTCAAGATAGGGTCTGGAGAATGATTTGTCCGAGCTGGCTTTGAACCTCAGTCCTCCTGATCTTTGCCTCATAAGTAGCTAGGATTGCAGACATGAGCCACTGACACCTGGCAGATAGTTTCTCTTGCTCCTCTTTTGTGTGGATCACTGCTTGAGGTCTCTGCTATGCTAGACCTTGCCTTCTAGCAAGCCAGAGTGGACTAAATAACAGAGGTGATTATTATCCTTGGCCATGGGAAGTGATACAGATAAGGACAGAGTGCTGTGGGAGTATCTGATCTTTGAGGGGAAGCTTCCCTGAGAAGTAAAGCATGAGCTGAGAGCTGAAAGATGAGTAGAAATTAGCTGTCTAAAGGGGTAGGGAGAGGCAAGACCATTGTGGGCAGGTAAAACAGCATGTACTAAAGCCTAGACAAGAGGTTTAGGAACAGAAAAAGTCCACTGTGGTAGAGGTATGGAGAGGGATGTAGACAGTGCTATGAGGCAGGCATAGGCAAGAGCAAAAAGGAAATGGCTTAGTGGGCCATGCTCAGTGAGGAGTTTGAGTTCATCCACAGAGCAGTGGGGAACTATTGAGAAGTTTTGAAGCAGAAGTATGACAAGCAGATTTTCATTTTTTAAAAGATGATTTGACAGCCTTGTGAAGAAAGGATGGAAGGGCACCAAGAAGGGTTGTAGAAAGACAAATTAAGAGGTTTTCACAGTGGTTTATGAAAAAGATAGTGATGGCTTGGCCTGAGATGAGGCCTGTAGTAGAAATGGAGAGAAGTGGTAGTGAAGGACTTGCTAATGGGTTGAGTATGGGAAATGAGCCAAAAAAATATCTCTGACCTGCGCAAGCAGGTTTTCTTTGAAACAGAGCACTGAGGAGATGATGAGATCAATTGGAGCATCTGAATTTAGAGTGACCTCTAAGGGGAGAAATTGAGTGTGCAGTTGGATGTGTGAATATGGTGTTCCATGAGAGGTTCGAGCTGGAGAAATGTATTTGGGAATCGTCAGTAGATCGTACCCTCATTAAAGCCCCATATGTGGACAAAATGGTGGTGGGGAAGAAAGTATAGACTGAAAAGGGGAGGGAAAGGACTGAGCTTAGAGACCTTCCAAGTAGGGATGGGGAAATCTTATGATTAGAGGAATTGCATTGATGTCAAAAATGAGGAAGTACCCCAAATTCTGAAAGGAAACTCGATGTATTTTTCTGGGTTTGTTGTGTCCTGGGTTAAGTAGATATTTATGGGCCATCTTAAGAACCTGTTTACCGTGTAACAGCATGATCACCTGAGGAAAGTGTTTAAGTTCCAAAAGGTTTATTCTTAAGGAAACAGTGGAAACAAAATTCATGAGTAGGTTGAGACCACCTTAGTCTACATGGGGTCTATCATGGAGGGCTTCAAATTTTTTAAAAAATTTTGGCAGCAGAACTTTGTTTAAGTAGAATCATTTAAGTCCAGTAAATGAAATAGCTATAAGTATTGCCATTGTGACTGCATGTCCCATACCCTGGAGAAGCCCTAGAGCTCTGTGGGATAGGTAGCTTCTGATTCACTTCCTGTAAGTAAGCCAGTTCTAAAACCTAAGGTAAATAAACTACCTAAGAGCAGTAGATTCTTGGATATCAACCATATGGGGCAAAGGTTGAGCCTATCTGGCATATTATTAAGTCTGAAGTTCAAGAGCAATTAAAATAATCCTATATTGTCATAGCATTTCCTCTGACATTGAGTTGTCTTTATGAGCTGTGAGAGGTACAGCACTGGAAAGAGACAGATTGATACTTCCTGTTTTTGTAGACACGTATGTGTTTGTCATTTTGTTGACAGACTTTAAAAATAAGCTTTTCTTGGCTGGTAGAGTGGCTCAACTGGTAAGAGCACCTGCCCAGAAAATGTGAGGTCCTGAGTTCAAATCCCAGTGCTGCCACAGGGGAAAAAAAAAGAATATTTGCCAAGCACTGGTGGCTCACACCTGTAATCCTGGCTACTCAGGAGGCAGAGATCAGGAGGATCAGGGTTCAAAGCCAGCCCAGACTTTAAACCCTATCTCAAAAAAACCCATCACAAAAAAGGGCTGGTGGAGTGGCTCAAAGTGTAGGCCCTGAGTTCAAACCCCTGTACCACAGGAAAAAAAAAAAGCTTTTCTGAGCCTGGTATGGTGATGCATGTCTGTAATCCCAGCACACAGGGAGGCTAAAGCAGGAGGATCAAAAGTTTGAAGCCAGTCTGGGCTGTGTGGTAAGACTCTGTCTCAAAAAAAAACTTTTAAAAGTGAGCTTTTCTGTTCTCAATCCCTGATTGCCAGGAGTAGTGCTGTGTAAGGGCTCCCTAAACCCTCCTGGACCAGGGTTTCTCAACTTTGGCTCTATTAACATTTTAAGCCAAGTAATTTCTTTGTTGTGAAGAGTTATCGTGGCCATCTTAGAATATATACCAATATCTTTGGGCTCTATTCAGTAGATGCCAGTAACACCCCCTGCCTGAGTTGTGACAACAGAAAGATAAAAATGGCTGTTGCACTGAGAAAAAACACCAAACTCTCACTTAGCTGGAAGTCCTTGTACAGTCTGGCTCATGTCACCTTCTGAAATCTTCTGTTGCACAGCTAAAGCCAGCCACTGGCCCCAAGTTCATCATGCCCTCCTCCAGCCACAGTGGTATGTGCTCAGAGTATAAAACTTTTCCTACCCTACCCCAGTGCTCTTCCTTGTCCATGCAGGCTACTTAGGATGGATGGTTTACAATACCCTGGTTCCAGGCTGGGGATATAGCTCAGTGGTTTAATATTTGCCTAGCATGCATGAGGCCCTGGGTTCAATCCCCAGTACCACAAATAAAACCAAAAGAACAAAAAAAAAAACAATACCCTGGTTCCTGGATTTTCCTTCATAGCACCAATCAGAAATTGGTAAATAAAAGATGTTATCATGAAATTAATTATTGTTCCCTCACACACACACACACACACTAAACTGTGAATATCTTTGAAAGCATGGTTCCTGCACCCTTAGGTACCCATGTCAGCAGTTACTTTTCCTTTAGCTTCAATAATGTCCCATTGTCAGGGAGAACTTCTTTGGTCCTGCATGCATCCTTTGTTGTGTCTGGACCTGGGAGCTGTTTCTTTGATGCCGTTGTCTCTGTGTAATTGTGTGTTCAGTGGTGTGGCTCTTTGATTAAAGTGTGGTTAATACCTGTCTCACCAACTAGACAGTAAGCTCCTTGAGGGCAGAGACAGAGACAGCTCTTTTTTTTTAGCATTACTCCAGTGGCTAGTTTAACAGATGCCTATTCACTGAATGCAGGCAGGTATCAATCAGCCAGATCTGCCTGGACTCACAGTGAATCTACCATTTTCCTCAGATTCACTTGTTCCTTCTGTTTTGTGTCACTTTCCAACCTGGGCCAGTTCACCCCTCCGTAGGCAACCTGGTGGTCCCTTGCTCCCGGGAGGTCACCATATTGATGCCGAACTTAGTGCGGACACCCGATCAGCATAGCGCACTGCAGCCCAGAACTCCTGGACTCAAGCGATCCTCCTTGTGTGTCACTTTCTTTAAAATAAAACAAACGAACACAACATTTTTGTTAATGATCGCAGATACAGAAAACCAACAGGACAAATATATGGTTCAATAAATTATTTGAGGGAAATAACCTTGTATCACCACCAAGTCAAGAATAGAAGCTTGTTGTCCACAGAGAAGCCCCATCCGTGTGCCCCAGCCCAATTGCAGCACACTCTCCCTCCCCCATAAGTAACCACTGGTCACACTTAAAATAATCACTTCCTTGTTGGTGCTGATTGTAATCCCAAAAGGCACAATCCTGAAGGCCATAATCCCTAAACTCTAAAATCTGAAAATCACAAACCCAAAAGATAAAAATACTGAAAGTTGAACTCCCCAAAACTGAGTTTCTCATTGGGAAAAATGCTGTATAATATAAGAGGAGCAGAAAGCTAGTTTGGGGAAGGGATTAGTGCGTTTTTTGCTTGTACACACAGGATAGTTGCAACATGTTAGGTGGAATGAATACCTGGAAACCGGGCATGGAAAGCATTATTTTGGATGCATCTGTGAGAATGCTTCCAGAAGAGATTAGGGTGTGAGTCTGAGTGGAATGAGTGGGAGATCTGTCATGTAGAAAATAAATGTGAACCTATTCTCCAAGAAAGAGCCATGCCCCAAAAGAAAACAGAGAGATATTTATCACATGCAAGACTTCAACTGTAGTTAACGATCAGAAGAGTCAACCAGCTCTTGTGGGTACCTCTGCAGTTGCCCACCTCTATCCCTATAACACACATTTTTGTATGACATATTTTGTTTATTTGTTTGTTCTTTCATTCTTTGTTTCTTTCCCAACTATTTTATTATATTTGTTAGTGCGGGGATTTGAACTCAGGAACTTGTGCATACTAAGCACATGCTCTACCATTGAGACATACCCCAGCTCTTCCAACTATTTTAAATCATCAGCATTGCTTTTTACAACTCACTATGCTGCATATTTCATCTTTGCATCATTTCTAGCACCGGAGGTATAAATTGTGTAAAGACTTTTAGGGAGTTCTAATTCATTTTTGCATTGACTCCATAAAGCGCATTGTCACAACACTGACTTTGTAAGCATTGTGCGTGTTCATAAAAATGTTGAAACTTCCTTAGTGAATGAAGAGATGTCCTTTTTGTACATCTGCATTTGTGGAAGATAAAATTTCTCCAGATCTCAGCCCCTTGGGTGACCATTGAAGTTTTTTTTAATTAATCTCATTAAGAGATGTACATTGTTGAACGGGGATATAGCTCAGTGGTGCAGTGCTTGCATAATATTTGAAGCCCTGGGTTTCATCCCTAGCACCCCCACCTCCCCCAAAAAAGACCTAGATTGTCTGTCATGGTTGTTTTAGCTGACTGCATTTACACAGTGGGTGCACACAATTACCAGGCATAATGATATTTATTTATACATTTCACTGTTTGGTCTCTTTGTAAACATACTTTGTCTTCTCTTAATTGTTATATACATGTGACTGTCATTAGTATATCTGTTTACAAAAACATGTTATTATTACCTATTTTATTATATAAAGTGTTCTGTGAAGTATTTTCATGTTTCTCAAATCCCTCTTTAAAAATGTAAATGAATGTTTTTTAGATAATTTTTGTTTTCAGTTTATAAAAGAATGCACTTTATATTTTATACAAGTCATACCACAATTATTCAGTGGAATTTCTTTACTTACAAGTAATTTTATTGTTGCTATGTGTTCTACATAACCACACACATTATTTTGTTGAGTTAACTTTCAAATTGTCTAAGCAGTTTATAAGCAACTTATATTTTTACAATAAACCCTCAAGGAATATCTTGGAAGTCTTTAATGTAGTAACCTGAAGATATAGCTTGTTACAAGAATGCATTGAATTTCACATCAAGCCAGTATATTTCTATTATGAAATGTTCACTTAAAATAATGTGGGGCTGCCAGGATAGCTCAGTGGTGGCAGAACACTTGATTAGCATGCACAAAGCCCCTGGTTCAATCCCCAGCACTGAATGAAACTTTTTTGGTGGAACTGGGGTTTGTACTCAGGGCTTCATGCTTACAAAGCAGGCACTCAACTGCTTGAGCTACACCTCCAGTCCATTTTGCTCTGGTTATTTTGGAGATGGGGGTCTTGCAAACTATTTCTCTGGACTAGCCTCAAACCACAATCCTCCCCATCTCAGCCTCCCATGTAGCTAGTATTACAGACATGAGCCACTGGTACCCAGCAGAATGAAACTTATGAAAATTCTATTGGTTCAGTGAAACTTGGAGGAAGGCTGTTTTTTCTCCTTGAGAACATCAATTTAAAGAAGAAAAGATTTACTTTGGCTCATGGTTTCAGAACTTTCTGTCCATGGTCACTTGGCTCCATTGTTCCTGGGCCTGTGGTGAGGCAGAGCATCACAGTGGAGAGAATGTGGTGGAGCAGAGCTGCTTGCCTCATGGCTGCTGAGAAGCCTAAACTTATTTTTTGCAGAATTATATTTTCAAATTTTTGATCCTTTGAGATTATAGACTTCAGGGATTTTGATCTTCCAAGCTTTCAGCATTAGCAAGTGTGGAATTAGGATTGTGTCTTTTGAGATTGTTGCCCATACTCCTTTGAGATTTTTTTTTGTAGTTTCATCATTCAGTGTGTATCCTTAGACACAAATTTATAGTTTTGCCCACTTAAAACATTTGATGTGTCTTTTAGTCTACTTTAACCTATGGATTCCCCTTCCATCCCTTTCTTTGCCTTAAATTTATCTATTGAAGAATTTTAGGGCTAGTCCACCTAAAGAATTTCCCCATCTGGATTTTTTTTTTTTTTTGGTACTGGAGTTTGAACTCAGGGCCTATACCTTTTTTTTCTTTTATTATTCTTATGTGCATACAAGGCTTGGGTCATTTCTCCCCCCTGCCCCCACCCCCTCCCTTACCACCCACTCTGCCCCCTCCCTCTCCCCCTCACCCCCTCAGTACCCGGCAGAAACTATTTTGCCCTTATCTCTAATTTTGTTGAAGAGAGAGTATAAGCCATAATAGGAAGGAACAGGGTTTTTGCTAGTTGAGATAAGGATAGCTATACAGGGAGTTGACTCACATAGGGCTTATACCTTGAGCCACTCCACCAGCCCTTTTTTTTGTGATGGGTTTTTTTGTTTTGTTGTTGTTGTTTTGAGATAGGGTCTCATAAATTATTTGTCCAGGCTGGCTTCGAACCTTGGTCCTCCTGATCTCTGTCTCCTGAGTAGCTAGAATTATAGGTGTGAACCCCCAGCACCTGGCTAATTTTACCACTTTTAGTTCAATATTTGGAATACTTTCATGAATGATTCTTTCCTTTGGCTGTTACTAGTAATTATTCACATGGTTTACAAAGGAAAGTCAGGACAAATAATTCTTTCCCTTTATTACCAGTCTTCATTTATTATGAGTTGTTTCTCTGTCATCTTCCAAAGTTGACTCATTCTTTTTTTTTTTTTAAAATATCACTGTAAACATAAGGATTTAAGCATAGTTGATGTGTTTCATTCCCCTGGTGGAGCCTGATCCCACTGCCTTTGCCAGCTGGTCCTCCATGCCTCTCTTTCCTTCCAGGTTTGGTCGGAAGAACGTGCTGTTTGTGACCATGGGCATGCAGACAGGCTTCAGCTTCCTGCAGATCTTCTCAAAGAACTTCGAGATGTTTACTGTGCTGTTTGTCCTTGTAGGCATGGGCCAGATCTCCAACTATGTGGCAGCATTTGTCCTGGGTATGGCCATCAAGTTGGAGTTGAGTACTTGATCCTGTGTTTCACTGTCATCCTGTCACCCACCTTTCTGAAGACAGATGTGATGGCCCTCAGAAGGATGTGGTCTCTAGCAACACTGCCAGAGCTTCCTAATGAATCCAGTTTATTCTCAGGGAAACTGAGCCAGACAAGTGATGAGCTTTGGGTCCCAGTGGCTCAATAATCTAACTTCTGATTTCTAGTTCTTTTCTGCCCTCTGAGGTCTGGCACCTTGGTCTTATTATTATTTGATGCCATTTTACTAGGACTATCAGAGCTCATTCATTTTAAAAAGCTTGCACTTCATGGGCTGAGGTAGCTGGGGAAAAAGGCAGGTAAGCCATGAGGAGTGAGGCCATGGTGGGCAGGCTTTCCAGGAAAGAGAACTGAAGCCTCTGTAGAGTATTGTGGACAATACTGTCTACTGACAAGAATAAATGGATATGCTCAGTTCAGGTTTTGATTCAGTATATACCTTCCTGGGCTTTTGCTCAGACATGCCAGCCTGCTGTCACTGAAGTTGTCAGTCTCTCTGTTTGGAGTCTAACTCAAACTAATAAAACCTTTGGGGTCCTTGGGCTGTATTGTTAAAAGGATTTTTTTTTCTTTTCATATTTAGTAGACTGTTTTTTCTTGAAGGATAACAGTCAATATATGTGGCCTTTGTAATGACTTTGCCTTTAATGAATTCTTCCTCATGTGAGGAGTAAAGGGGGTAGCATGGCATCTTTAACGTGTGGCTAAGGAAGGTGATAAGATTTCATGAGAACTGTTGCAGAGAGGCCTCAGCCAAGCACTCCAGGAGATGGCAGAGCAGACCGGGTTCAGATCCAGCTCCTCACTAGGGCTTAGGAACAGAGAGAGATAATTCTGGCTGCCTCCTTGTCTCTGTGTTGAAAATGATACCGTGGGAAATGAATAAGGAAAGAATCCAATAAAAGTGCTAACTCGACTCCTCCTTTATTTTGAACAGGAACTGAAATTCTTGGCAAGTCAGTTCGCATTATATTCTCCACATTAGGCGTGTGCATATTTTATGCATTTGGCTACATGGTGCTGCCATTGTTTGCTTACTTCATCAGAGACTGGCGGATGCTACTGTTGGCACTGACAGGACCAGGGGTGCTGTGTGCTGCCCTATGGTGGTGAGTGAGGCCTTATGCCTTGTCTGCCATCCCATAGAGTGTCTTCCATCTGACTTCCCCTAGAGGGCAGCAAGAGCCGCCCTCAAGTCCTTGTTAGGGCTCCCAGAGTCAGGAAGGGCAGGTTATTTATAAATTTTTCAGAATGTCCCTCAACATTCAGAAGAACCAAAATAAAACAGAATCCCAAGACATCAATAGGCTTGTTCTCGTCCCTGTGCTGGGTTGACCTAAGTGCAGGGAGAAGAAGTAGGTGTGAAAAATGGGATCCAGTGTGACCTACAGGAAGTTCTCAGACCCCAAGGCCAGACAGCAAGGCCCTGGTTCCAGCTGTGTGTTCCTAAGGCTTCACACCACAGGCACTGGGAGAAGAGGGAGAGCTCCAAAAATGAGAGAGTCCTTGGGGTGGCTTCACAGAGGAAGGCAGGCCACATCTACACCTCTTGAGAGAGAGGATGGACAGGCATAGTGGCCATTCTGTACCAAGAGAAGCAGAGGAACCGAAGCAGGAATCACCCTTTAGAGTAGGGGAGGATGAGATCACTGTCCTACATGGAACAGAGAGCATTTAAGGGCACAGTGGAAGGGCAAACAAGGCCTGGTTGTGACAGAAGGGTGGGGGACTAATTGGTCACTATGAGATAGAAAATAGCTGCCAAGACTTAAAACACTCAGATCTTAATAACCATGCCATTTTACATTGGGAGGTTAATGAGTCTATTGGACAAATCAGGGATGGGATGAGGAGAAATAGAGGTCAAGGGTCCAGTACAGAAGCTTCTGTAGATATCAGTAACAGGGAACAGGTTAGCAGGGTCTAGGCTGGCAAAGCCATCTACAGAAGTCAGACTTCAGGAGCCCATCTTGCATGTGTCTCCTTAGAGCTCAAAAAGGGCACTATTACTCTTCAGAAATGGAAATGGACAGTCAGTGTGGGGATCTCCTCAGCCAGTGAAGGGCCTTCCCAAGTTTCAGGCACTGCAGTCACACCTCAGGTTAATACTGGACTATCTCTTTGTTTCTGGGTTATGAACAGATCCAAACCTAGCTTTGGATCTGAAACCTCTTCGCCTCCAGTTAAGCCACGCCCTGTCCATTGGGTAGCTGTTGGGTAGGAGGACTCACTGGCATTACACTTGTACTTCCAGGTTTATCCCTGAGTCTCCCCGATGGCTCATCTCTCAGGGGCGATTTAAAGAGGCAGAGGTGATCATCCGCAAGGCTGCCAGAATCAATGGGATTGTTGCACCCTCAACTATCTTTGACCCGAGTGAGGTAAGCGCCAATGGGAACTGGTGGGGGCCGCACCGACCCCCAGCTCTTCCCTAGATAGGCCCTGTTAAAACCTAGAACCTGAGAAATAAGATCTAACTGCCTAATTCTTTCCCTCTTTCATGTTTTATTTTATTTCCTTCCCAGGCAATCATACTTTGACCATTAATTTTAATAATAAACAGGTTTTATGAAAAGTAAGCCTTTCACAACATCAGCATTTTAGAAAATCATTGTTTCTTACACCCCAGATGATTGGCCATCTTAAGAAGATAACCAGTACATTACGTACAAAGCACAGGTGGCTTTGCAGTCAGAAATGTTCAGTCTCTTTTCACCCTCCAACAGTTGTTGAGTATCATTGCAGAGCCAGGTCCTTTCTCATGTCCACCTCTTCCCTGTACCCCACCCCTGCCTGCAAACCCTGTTCTTACACCCCATGAGTAATTTCTTGGCTGTGCCTGGTTCCTGGTTCTTCTTCCTCTTCCCTCTTGTCTCCCTTCTCTGCTACAGGCAGTTTTCCTCAGACTCACAACTACAAGAAGAGGTTAGAAGCTATAAATCTGCATATGCTGGCGGATATGGTTCTGGAATGTCTTTGGTCTGACAGGAAGACAAGGGACTGACTGGCTGTGGGAACAGCCACAAGTGTGCAGCAGGCATGTTAGAGACGTTCTGAACTCAGGATGCAGACTCAGGGCTTGAGAGAGAGGAACTAGTTGCTGTAGGCAGCCAAAAGGCCAATGACCACCTCAGCCATGCTGGCGTCTCTTTAAGTGGTAGTCTAGCAACAGCTCCCTCTCAGCATGTCCTTGAAAGGGCTCTAAAGCACAGAGGTTAGGGCAGGAATGTAGCTGAGAGGGCTTTTAAGTGAGGTGACTTTGGTGGCTTTTAAGTGAGGGGTTGGTCAGTCTGGGAAGGCCCATAAGCCCCACTGGCATCTCTGAGGAAATGAGACTATTTCAGGGGATCCTTTAAATCCAAAGTTGACCTTTTGTTGAACTGCTAACTTGGGGAAAACAAGCTCCAAAGCTGGGCTTGCTTAAGAAAGCAACATCAGTGTGTTTAGACGTGCAGTTTATTAATGGCCTTGGCTGTGCTGAATTTCATAGGAAGTTACTCTGGGTGAAGCTTAGGTCAATTTTCCTGTTTTTCAATTTGGATTTTTCCCCTGGACGTAGCCCAGTAACTACATGGTATGCAGACTCCAAACATTAATTCTTTTTAAATGTCAGATCAATAAACTATACAGCCAGCTTTTCTCTCTGACCCAGAGGGCAGTGAGCCAGCCCCTTGTGGAGGAATGTTCAGAGGCCTCCCAGGAATGTGCTCACTGATGGTGGAATTGTCAGCCTAGACCTCTGCACCCTTTGAGAGACTGGCCACCTACCTTTTCTCCTCATTTGCATTTGCTCTGGTTTATAATTGGCAAGTCCTGGAGGAGCCTTCAGCAGTGCCATCTAGGCTTTATACATAGTGTTCTTTTCAAGGAAGAAACATAAAAAGCTCTAACAAAGAGAGAGCTAGGATGCCAGGTTTGGAGTATGTTACTGTGCACTCTTAAGCCTCTGACCTTCCTTCCTCTGTATACTCTTAATCATACTTGTTTCTGCAGTTACAAGAACTAAGTGCCAAGAAGCAGCAATCCCATCGCATTGTGGATCTGCTCCGAACCCATAATATCCGGATGATCACCATCATGTCCATAGTTCTGTGGTGCGTAAGTGAGACCTGCCTGAGGCTTCCAGAAGAAGCTTCTGTGGGTGACTGTCAGACTCTGTTTACAGACATGCCTGCCTCAGGCCAAAATTGAAAGGCTGTGTCATCATAAAGTGATAGATGGGAGAAATGAGTTTGTCACAATTCTAAATGTGATGCCAAGGCTCTTTTGGGAAATAGGGATCTTTGGAGATCTCACCAGGTCTCAACCTGAATCATTGCTCACTTTGGGTCCTTGCTTAGTTGTTCCTATCCCCTGTCTCTTCCTACTTAGTCATAGACAGCAGCTGAGGAGAACAGGTGGGGCTTTTAAGAAGGATCTGAGTGAAGACACCTTGTCCTTTAGGCAACAGAAGCTGCTAAGAGCTTTCTGGAAATGTAGAAGCAGGACATGCTCCTTCTGGGATGTTCATTGACTCCTGAGGTCAAGGCCATGGCCTAGATGTCCTCTCCAGGTTCCTTCTGACAAGGAGGTTTGCAGGTGTCAGGAAGGGATTTGTGAGGTACCAGGGATAAGTGCCTGGATAGCTTTTGCCAGACCTGTGGGGATTATAGCAGACCACTCAAGCCTGTGGGATGAATGGTGGTAAGATGGTTGAGGAAGACAGACTTCGTTTCACAGTCTTCACTAGCCATCCATTTTGCTCATTGGAGGGTACTCTGAGTCACCCATTTCCAAGGAATGGCCCAGGATCCCTCCTAGCAGTGCACTACTCGCTGGCTCTGCCTCAAGACAGGAACTTGGGTAGACTGCACCTTAGACTCACCAGCCTGCAGGGAGTCACATATTCTGTGGTTCACCCAGACTCTTGCCCTGTTTTGAATTTCCCAGGAACTTGTGGACCTACTCTTTTCCTTAACTGAACCAGCTATGTTTTCCACCTGCAGATGAATTAAAAAAACAGTCTATTTTGCCAAAGAGTGTGAGTCATCAACAGAAAACACTTATAGGCACAGGGCCCAGGCCATGCACATTGGAGGGCGTGCAGATGACAGACATTTGGCTCCACCGTTGGGAGTGCCCTTGTGTCCATGAACACAGTGGGGTTGGGGTCAGCAATCTCTGACCAGCCTCTTCGTGGCTGGTCACCCCAGAGAGTTCTAATGTTTTGGGTTTTTTTGCCTTATCTCTCTGCTCCTGTCACACCTCACTTGGCTACCAGCTGCCTTACTCCATCTGTAGCTCCTTCTGCACTTACTGGGCTTGGGGGGCTCATAGAGTAGAGAGGTGTAAATGCTTCAGCTTAGGATTTTTAAGGCGGAAATTTTGGAATATTTTTTAGTGAGTAAATCAATCTGAATTGTATAAACTCTTTTGCTGGAACACTTTTTTTTTTGTGGAATGCTCTGAACGATGTATCAGCAAAGATTTACACAGTACCACTTGGGCTGGGGGACATTACCTTTTGTGCTATGAAGTAAGGCACAAGGTTAAATCTCCCACTGCCTTCCTATTCTCTGCTGAAAGTCTAGTTTGGAAATTCCTTAGATAATTGAATTTTTCAAAGTGTGTAAGTTGCAAGAGATGGATGCTGCTTCTCCAGCTTTCTTCTGTGCTCCATTGCAGGCTGACCATATCCGTGGGCTATTTTGGACTTTCCCTTGATACTCCTAACTTGCATGGGGACATCTATGTGAATTGCTTCCTTTCGGCAGCGGTTGAAGTCCCAGCATATGTGTTGGCCTGGCTGCTACTGCAACATGTGCCCCGGCGCTATTCCATGGCTACTGCCCTCTTCCTGGGCGGCAGTGTCCTTCTCTTCATACAGCTGGTGCCCCCAGGTAGGGACCTGGGTTTTCATTGTGTCACTCCCTCTCCACTGACTTCCTCAGGTAATAGAATACAGTCAAGCCCATCACAGCTCTCCTGCATATGTATTCTTGGCCTAAAACTCAAGAGATAGTGCCTCTTGAAACCAGAACATTCTTTATGGTCTGGGCTTTGGGAGAATGGGAAGAATTCACCCATTAGTTGTGGAATGCCTACTATGGGTTAGGCACTGGACTTGGTGCTAATGATACAGAAATATCAAGTAGTCAGACAAAACTCCAGCCCTAATAGAGCTCACATCCTCATTGAAAAGGCAGATAATAAACAAGTAAATAAAATGCTCATTTTTTCAGGTTGGCTTACCTACTATGAATAAAAATAAAAGGCAGTGGAGAGCTAGTTTACATAGAGTGGTCATGGACAGCATTCCTGGACAGGAGGCAGTTCAGCAGAAATGTACATGGAGTGATGGAGAATGCCATGGAAGGTCTGGGAGTCACTTCTGGAAGAAGAGACAACAAAGGCAGAGACTTGACAGGCAGTAAGCCCAGCATGCTTGAGGAAAAATAAGGAGCTAGTACGAGGTGAACAGGGAAAGAGGGAGGGGGGATCTCAGAGGCCATTGGCAGGATTTTCTTCATAAAACTATGTTGGTGATTGGCCTTCATCTGCCCATCACTGTGCCAGGAGACTTTAGTGCACCTGTGTATTTGGGAGCCTCTGGTAGTCACTTTGGGGTCTGTCAGGCTGGGAGACCTCTAAACAGGGACATCCCATATATGGTGTGGCAGAAGGAGCCCAGGACTGGATATAGGGGTTCATACCTGAGCTCAGGGTGACACTAAGTCCACTCAGTATCTCCTCATTGGACAGCAAGGGGGATAGATTGAAGGATGATTTGAGGTTCAGATGGTCTCTAAATTTTCTCAGGTCTGGATAGAATGCAGGCATGAAGTGAGTTAGAGTTGTATTCTCCTCCATACATGTAAAAGTCCTTAGTTAATTCTATAGTGCCTGCAGTAGGAGGTTCAGGGGTGACAGCTCACTTCCCAATAGACATGTCAGTGTTGACTTCTGGACTGGAAGATAGGCATTTTGGACTATGAAGATCTTACTCTCGTGGCCTCTGTATTGAGGAAAATGCATATCCTTACCCAGCTGCAAGGTCCTTCAGTAATCAACTTAGAGGGAAATCTTGGCTATGACCCCTTTCTTATAATAGGAAGTTATAGAAATTGACCCAGTCCTTCCTCCCAAATGAGGGGAGAAAGTAAGTTTGTTTCAGGCAATGAAATGGAACTCTCAAAGACAGCCTGCCTTGACTTGGTCCCAACTCCTACTTTCTTTCCTTTACCTCTCCAGACTTGTATTATTTGGCTACAGTTCTGGTAATGGTGGGCAAGTTTGGAATCACTGCTGCCTTTTCCATGGTCTACGTGTACACAGCTGAGCTCTATCCCACTGTGGTCAGAAACATGGGTGTAGGAGTCAGCTCCACAGCATCCCGCCTGGGCAGCATCCTATCTCCATACTTCATTTACCTGGGTAAGTCCCATTGTCCCAAGGGTGCACTGGAATAACAGGGGAAGCACTACCTGGCTTTAATGTGAGCCAGAGGTAACTTGTTAACAGGAAAATGAGCATATCCAGCAAACAAGGATCTATCCAATCCTGGACCTAATGCTGGGGATGGCTCTCTCCACGTGCCCTGTGGGGGAGGCATTATTTTCAAATGGAAAACAACCTATGGACTAGCTAGAAATGAATGAAAAAGTTAGAGGGGTTTGTCTCTGTTTCAGCCACCCCAGGCCCTCCATTGGGTAGAAATTACACAATGCTTTAGGGAGGCAGTTTACTGAACAGGAGAAATTTCTTCTTGGAATCAGGAGCATGAAGAGAAAGTGGTCCATTCAAGAGAACTGGTGAACTGAGAATTACTGTAACTTGGAGCACTCTACACAGTGGTTTTATGCCATGTAAAGATCTGCCTTATGTCGTTTCATGTAGCAGGACACCAGTTATCTCCTCCTCAGATGTATTTCCTTATAGCAGCTGCTCTTCCCCTGCACATCCCTAGCCAGTCTACCTGTGGGAAGGACTGGCACCTATCCTGAGAATATCTGAGTGCTCTTCGAGCATGCTGCATAGCTCTAACAAGCAACACCACCTTCCAGTCTAGTTAGCCTGAAGGCAAACCAAACCCTGAAGGCAAACCAAACGGGTTTTGACACATCTGCAGAGGTGAAGAGTTATTACTGTCCCTGGATGCATGCCTTGTGTTCCTTGGAAACCTAACATTGGGAAATAGGAATAACTCTCATGGTTCAGCTCTTTTGTTCCCGCTGTACCCCTTCCCACACCGTGGGGTCACTGCTGGACTTCTGGGCATGCCTGCACTAGCTCTGGGTTCTGAGACTGTCTAGGTGCCAGTCTGTTAGCTCAGACTATAGTTGGGAAGCAGTGAGGTCAACAAGGAAGGTGTTTGATCCCCTTTATCAAGTCCTGGGAGCATAAAGAGTTGGAGGGAGACCAAGTTGCACTGCAGCCTAGTCTCTGGGCCTCTTGTCTGCTCTGCCACAGGTGCCTATGACCGCTTCCTGCCCTACATTCTCATGGGAAGTCTGACCATCCTGACAGCCATCCTCACCTTGTTCTTCCCAGAGAGCTTTGGAATCCCTCTCCCAGACACCATTGAACAGATGTTAAGGGTCAAAGGGTAAGGAGGCATCCATTCTCACAGCGTGGACACACTGGATCTGGGCCTTCCCAGGTCATAGGAGCTCCTTGAGGTAGAGCCCCCTGAAAACTCTGTCTCACAAATGCCTTGGACTAGTTCAGCCACCAGTGGGTTATAAATGGCGGAAATCTAATCCTGTGTGGACATGTCTCTGTGCCTATCTCCACAGTAGTAGAACTTCTGGGCTAGCACAGAGACTTCCCAAATCTAGTATATGATTTTTTTTCCCAGGGAAGTTACCCTAATTTCTGGTTTGTTTTGAAAATGGTAGGCATCTTTTTTTTTAAGATTGCTGCTAACATTTGTTCTGCTTGTTTTTGTATGCATTTGCTTTATTTTTGTATTTTTTTACCTTATTTTAAAGTTTTTATTATGTTATTGTTGCACTGGGGGTACACTGGACATTTATAATATGCTTATAATATACTTAAATTCACCCCCCTCCATGTTTTACTTGTTTTAATAGAATAAAATACAGGCAAACCCCAAGCCACACAAGAATGTTAAAAGATGGTGAAGAAAGCCCTACAACCCTTAAAAGCACAGCCTTTTAACACAACCTCCAGAAAGTGAAAAACTGAAGAGGAAACCCTGCATCTTGTGAGAAACTGAGTTCTTCGGTGACAAAGGGGCTTTGCCGATTACTCTGTTGACTTGCTCGTGGAGGGCACCTAGACTCAGAGGCTGCATATGGCCCAGAGCACCACCTTTCCTCCAGGGAAATGGCGGCTACAGACATCTTATACATTCTAATTATTATAATGGTGGACTTGGCGCTTACAAAGAAACTAATGATTCATTAGAACCAGTGGGATTTGGAAGGATGTGAATGACATCTGACAGATAAACCTTCTAATTTTAGACTACCTGACAAGGCCCCTGATGAAACTGAAGGTGTGAGTTTTCTCCCTCCTTTCCCTAAATGGTGAACCTCAGAGTAAAAGAAATAGTTCCAGGGTGGGAGTGAAGTTCAGTGGTAGAATACTTGTCTGGCATGCACAAGGCCCTGGATTTGATCCCTGGCACCGAGAGGAAAGGGATTGTCATGATTCCAGACCAGAAAAGCACAGGGTCTGGGGAACTGAAAGGTAATTAAGGTGAGGAGGATGGAGCAGATGCAGGGCAGGGCAGGTGCATTGATTATGACCAGTCAGTCCGGCTTCTGAGCGCACTTGTTTACATCTGATCAAAGCACTGGACTTGTCCGACCCATGAGAAATGCATTGTTGAGTCTACTATTCTTGTTTTCCCCTCCTGTGTAAATCAAACCTCCTGCTACTATAGCTACATACCTGCAGTTTGAAGGAAATATGAGAAATTGTCTCTTCTCTCAGAACTCTAATGAGAAAGTTTTGTTTTGTTGTTTTATGTCTGTTGTTGTGTCTACTCCTTAAGTTATTTACCCTTCCACAGAGACTCAGGAACAGCTGGATCGTTAGCCTCCTGGTTTGTGTCTCTTTTTTCCAACCCAGAATCACTCTGGCAATACTCTGCAGTTGCCACTGTACACAGCCTTATGAGCCTTAGTCACTAGCACTTCTCTGGGTGCCAAAAATAATGTCACTGTGTGTGTTCCTTTTGTGATCCCTAATCATAGGGAAAATTGCAAAAAAAGAAATTTAAATCATGTTCATAGTCTTTTAGAGTCACTTCAGTCATGTAACCTTTTTTGGAGGTATTTTGTGTTCAGTGTAATTGTCTTCTCTCTTATTATGTTGCCATGGTTCTCCTAAAGGATATGCTTTACCCAGTTTTAAAAAAAAAACAACAACAAAAACCAAAAAACAACATATTTTTGTGAAAGCTACTGAAGTGCCTTGGGAAATAAGAAAGTTTTGATAAACAAAATGATTTTTTTAAATAATAGCAACTGTCTACAATTTTTATTTCCAGAATTTGGTGAGCCCTTCGCACAATATCACCTGACTCTTGTCAGTTTGGGTTAATTATAGCAATGGTTTGGGATTAGATTATGAGGTTAAGATTAATTCCCCTACACAAGAAATCTTCACATTATTAACCAACTACGAACTGTGCCAGACTCTTACCCAAACGTCTAGCCCGGGTTCCCCTAAAAGTAGAGTCTGAGACTATCACTTCTGTGTATTTAGGTAGTTTACCTAACATTAAAACTCTAGGGAATAGAAGTAAAGGACAAGTAGGAGGGAGGGAGAGACCCAGCACCACGATGCATTATCAGGTTGAGCAGTGTCTAAGATAAGGTGCCACAGCTGTCCAGAATGTCTGAGGAGGCTTGTGAAATGCACCTCAGAACCATTTGCCCAATGGACAAAAGGGGGAAGCATGGTCTACTGGTACCAGTTCATCAAAGGCAGCCTCACAGGTGTCCACTCCCCACATCTCCAAGTTGCAAAGGCATGAGTCCCACACAGGTTCTGTCCCTTGGGTAGAAAGCAAAAAGCAGTACACTGCAGGCCAGAAGTGAGACCCTCTCAATGCACCTCAATGAAGCTGGCCAGAGCTTGTGTGAACTAGCTCTGCAGCAATCCTGGGGTAAGGAGTATGATGGACAAGAGGGTCAGGGTTGTGTACAGTGCACAGGACATGTCTGATCTATATAGATGAGCTAGAAAGTGTGACCAGACCTGGGTAAAAATGCTGCAGTATTGCATCAGATCAGATGGGACCCAAGGCAGCACATCTGGAACACTGTTGGCTTCTCCCTTCAGACCTGGTTCTATGCCAGGTTCCTGATGAGCTGACATCACAAGGGCTCCAGATTCTGAATTACAGTTCTGCCTGCCCGTTCTCCTGCTATGTGTTAACGGTTTCTGCACTGTGTCTCTTATTCTCAGTGTCTCCAGTTTGATTGGAGCCTTCTGATGGCCTTCTGAGGGGAAAAAAAACCATACTGCATGAATGCTTTGAGCTCTTCCTATGGTGGGGCAATAGCCCAAGTCACTGCCCCGGAGGTTGAGCCAAGGGTCTGAAAATCTAAGCCTTCTGTCTGGGCCGGCTGGACTCTTGTGTGGCTTGTTTCCATCAGAGCTGTGACTTTGGGAAGACTGATGAGGTTATCCTGACCAGGGATCTCAGAAAGAGTCATGCATAACCTGTAGTTATAATGACTACAGCACTATGAATGGTGATGTGCTCAGTTAATACCCGTGATAACTAGAAACCAGCATGACCATAGAAAGATGAGGGACAAGAACAGGAGGTGGAGGAACAACTCAGAATTTTTTTTAAGTTCTCTGTCACAGATCAAAGTGAAGGCAAGGCAAAGCCCCATCTCAACCAGAAAGTGATAGTGTGTGCCTGTCATCCAGGCTATGCAGGAAGTGTAAGATCATCTGGGTATAAATGCAAGACCCTATTAGAAAAATATCTAAAGCCAAAAGGACTGTGGACATGGCTCAAATAGTAGAGTGCCTGCCTAGCAAGCACAAGGCCTTGAGTTCAAACCCCAGCACTGCCAAAAAAAAGAAAAAACCAGAAATACATAGTTTTTAAAAAATACATATATTTTTCTTTTTGGCAGTACTGGGGTATGAACTCAGTCCCTTGTGCTTGTTAGACAGATGCTTTACCACTTGAGCCATGGCCCCAAACTCAGAACTTTATGACACCCTAGAAAACATGTATTTAAGACAAAAGAAAGCAGTAATGGAGGAATTGAGAAACAAAAAAACAAAGGTAGGAAACAAGTAGAAAAATGGCAGAAGTAAGCCCTTCCTTATTGTATAAAATCCTTAACGTTTTCATTAGTATATGATAGTTATACAGGGTGTTTCATTGTGACGTTTCCATGTGTACATATAACGTACCTGGGTTGGTTCATCCCCTCCATTATTCTCCCTCTTCCCCCATCCCCTTTCTTCAAATGACTTACACAGGTTTCAATGTTCTGTATTCATACTTGTATAGAAAGTACATCAACCGTATTTGCCTCATTTACCCTCTTCATTTACCCTTCCCCTACTGCTAATACTCTCTCCTTAGCATGACCTGTTTCACATTCCTGTCTTTCACTGGTTAAGTGACCACTAAGTGTTCGGTGAGGCTTTGCCGTGGTATTTTACCTGTAAATACACTGTGCTTTAATCAGTCTAATCCCCTCTATTGCTGTTCCTCACCCTTTTCCCCCTACTCTTTATTGTTCAACGGTTTTTCAATGAGTTTTGTTATGCCTTGTTCCTACACAGATGTGACGTGTTTCAATATTATTTACTCTCTGTTGTTCTTTTCTTTTTTTCCTCCTCACTTAGTCTCCTCTAACAATCCCTCATACACAGCGTAAGAGTAACTTGTCTATTAAAAGGCAGAGATTAACCAAATGAATTTTTTAAAAACCCAGCTATATGATGTCTATAAGAGATTTAATGTAGATTCAAACACAAAAGTAGGTTGAAAAACTGGGAAAAGCTATACCATGCAACAGTAACCACAACAGAGCTTGAATAGCTATACTAATACCAGACAAATAAACTTTAACACAAAAAAGTGCTATAATGATGAAGATGGTCCTTGTAATCAAAGAGTCATTCCATCAAGAAGAAAGGAGAAACAGTTCAACAATGGTTGGAAACTTTGACACCCCACTTTTAATAATGTGCAGAACAACTAGTCAGAAGATCAACAAGGAATAGAAGTTTGAACAACACTATAAACCATTTTGACCTAACAGACATGCAAAGAAACCTGCCAACCATAGAGAATGCACATTCTTCTCAAGAGCACAGGGAACATTCTCCAGGTTAAACCATATGTTAGGCTACAAAACAAATCTCAGTACATTTATTTATTTACTCATTCATTCATTCATTTTGCCGTACTGGGGTTTTAACTCAGGGCTTCACATCTGCTAGGCAGCGCTCTACCACTTGAGCCACTCCACCAGCCCTTTTTGCATATTTCTTACATGCAGTTTGGCCAACCATTGTCAAAAAGAAAGTTCCATGTGCATGTTATGCAGCTCAGTTGATGCAGAGAAGCCCTCTGTCAGCTCCACGCACTGAACTTCCTCAGTGGCCGCCTCCCTGGGACCAAATACCCTCGGACACCAAGGGTCTACTACAGCTGTAAACACTTACATTTCATAGTAAGAAAGAGCAATAAGAATCTAGCCTTCCATTTTAAGGAACTTAAAAAATAAGGATGAATGAAACCCAAAACAAGAAGAAAAGAGATAATGAGGGTTAAAACAGAGATAAATGAAACAGAGAACAGTCAAGAGGACCACGTGGGCCATGAGTTCAAGAGCAGTCTCAGCAATACAATGAGACTCCATTTCAAAAGAGTAAAGAAAAAAATAGAGAAAATCAACTAAAACAGAAGTTGGTTCTTTGAAAAGAGCAACAAAATTGGCAAACCTTTAGTTTAGACTAACCAATAAAAAAGAAAAGACTCATATGATGGAAATTAGGGATGATAGGAAATTATACAGAACTTGCAGAACTAAAAAGGATTATCAAAGAGTACTGTAATCAGCTATATGCCAACAAATTAGATAACCTAAATAAAATGGACAAATTCCTAGAAACACAGTTACCAAAACTTACTTGAGAAGAAGTAGATAATCTGAATATACTCATACAACCAAAAAAGATTGAATTAATAATGAAAGATAAACTCCCAACAAATAAAAGTCCCAGACCAGATGGCTTCACTACCAGATGTTTAAGGAAGAATAACACTAAACCTTTTCAAGTTCGTCTAAAAAATATAAAAGGAAAGAATACTTTATAACTCATTCAAGGAGACCATCATTACCCTGAGACCAAGGCCAGGCAAAACATCAAAAAAGACCAGGCGCGGTGGCACACATGTCATTCCAGAACTTGGGAGGCTAAAGCAGGAAGATTGTAAGTTTGAGGCCAGCCTGGGCTACATAGCAAGACCCTATGTCTAAATAATAAATTAATTAATTAAAAAGCAAACATAAAATACTAGTAAACAAAATCCAGCAGTATATTAAAAGGATGATATAACATGATCAAGTGGGATTTGTGTCAAGACTATAAATATGATTCAATGTACAAAAATCAAAGAGAATGCAAAAAAATCACTTAATATCTGACATTCTTTCACAATAAAAAACTTGTCAAAGAGAAATAGAAGGTTATTTCCTCAACATGACAAACAGTATCTATGACAAAAACCAACAACCCAGTTATCATTATACTCCATGAAGAAGCTGAAAGCTGTCCTCCTAATATCAGTAACAAGGCAAAAATGTTCACTCTTGCCACAGCTTCCAATGCTGCACTGGAAGTATGAGCCACAATTAGGTAAGTAAAATAAATAAAAGATACCCAAAGTTGGAAGGAAACAGTAAAGCTACAATAATCAAAACAGAGTTGTACTGGCCGTAAGACAGACATGCAGACCAATGAAATACAACCCAGAAATAAACCTTCACTTATATGGTCAAGTGATTTAAAAAAAAAAAAGTGCCAAGATCACTTAATGGGGGAAAAGACAGTCTTCAACAAATGATGAAAATTAACTCAAAACAGATTAAAGAGCTAAACATAAGAGCTACAGCTAGAATATTTGGAAAGAAAATATAGTAGAAAATCTTCACAACATTG